ATATATATATATATATATATATATATATATATATATATATATATAAACACATAATTATATTCTAAAATTAAATCATTCTAATATCTACATTACATAGACCTCCTCATTATATAGTTATAAAATAAAAAAATTATGGCTTTAAAATACTTTTTATTGGGCCTCCTGACTTTATCAGATGGAAAAATGTCCTGACAAGATCTTCCATTACATTCGAACGTGGCCACAACAAATTCACCTTTCACTAAGTGAACTTTACTTTCTATCCAGCCTTCAGCAGAATCCTCAGCATCTATTGTCGTTAATATCTTTTGGATTTTTAAAAATAAATTAGAGTTAGTGCAAGTTTACTGAGATTAAGAAAAGAGTTATTATTATTAAAATTATTATTATTAATAGCGCATATAAATAAAGGTTTTTATTATTATTATTGTTATTATTCATTAATACCTCGACTGTTTCTCCGACAGAGTAATCACTTTTCATAGAATCGAGCTTTGGCGGAAAGCGAACATCCGAGAACGGAAATTCTTTTTGTGTGTGTGAACTACAATTTGGATTGTTAAATTATAAATTAACAAAAAAATTTTTAGGCAAACCCAAGCACATTTATAAAAATAAACAAGTTTTGAAAAAAAAATTTTTGATTTTATGTTTAATAGATTTTCATTATAATTTTTTTTAAATTTTCATTAATAACAAATTACAAAAATTGAAAAGACAAACCCATTTTCTAACTCAACGAGAAGAGATTCCGCCAGAACGTCAACAACTTTACCCTGAAAAATGAATCGCATTAAATATTAAATAATTAAACCGACAAAAACTAAACTGAGTTGGGAAACTTTTTAAAAAACAAACAGCACAACATTTTCAATTGCAATTTCGGTTAAGAAACGGCTCAATTTAAAAATCGCGTTCGCCAACAAAACCGACGCACAATGAAAAAAATTAATTATTATTGCCATGCATAATTGAAAAATGTTTTAAAATTGAGTTACTTTTAAATAAATTCCAGCATTTCGCCGGATTTCTACGCTTAGGTCGTCCATTTTTTAAACGAAAATAAACTTTTTAACCATAGTGACGGTTCTAAAGCGCAATATTTTGTCGAGTTTTTTGTAAAAAATATTCAACACCATCGGTTAATCTTTGCCAAATTTCTTTCAAAATTACATCAAATTATTTAAAAACTACAATAAAAAATCAATTAAAAAGAATTAAATGATTGGGAAAATGCAATTTCGTTGGAATTTTTATGGATGTTGTGCAATCCCCATTGAAAAGCACACCTTTGTGAGTGACAACCAGTGGCCGTTGTGTTCAAATGCATTGTTACCACATCGTTACTACATTGTTACCACCACATATTATATATATATATGTATATTATATATATATTATATATATATATATATATATATATATGTGTGTGTGTGAGTGTGTGTGAATGTGTATAAGTATCAAAAATGTTATTATATAAGCCAAAGATAAAAAAATTTTCAAACATTCTTTCAGTATTGGTCCCGTCATACTTATATAGTTATATATATGTCGTATGTGATATATATATATATATATATATATATGTGTGTGTGTGTGTGTGTGAGTGTGTTTGTGTGGCTGTTATAGAAATTGTTATCACTGTTTTAAACAACAATATTACCACCATGATTACCACTTCACTGTACATTTCAATTTCATTGTTTAACATTATTATATCATATAGAAGGTAGTTAAATTATGATGTTTAATTTCTCACACTTATATATATATATATATATATATATATATATATATATATATATATATATATATATATATATATAAGACTATCACTGTGTAAACAAAATGTTTTACGTAATACAACAATAAAAAATAATACAAACATGCATACAAACATATATTTATATATGTACAATAATCGATGTTGTATACAATACAATTATTGTATTGTAATGTATTTATATATGAATGTATTTGTATATGAATGTATGTATATAATGTACTGATGAAAGTATGTACCCTTGCATTGTATGTGGTTGCATGTACTTGTATATGTTATAAATATTTGCATTCATTTGAAATGTATCAGCGTTTTAAAAAGGGTACATCATTTCTAAGCTAAGTTGATCAAAGTGTAAAAATTTTTTTGGCTTGATTTGAAAGGTCAAGAAAATTTATATCAATTGCTCTTTGGGGCAGCTATGTTAGTTATATTTAGTTAGTTATATTTAGAGATGTTTATAACACAAATTTATTTATTTCAATCTAATATAATATATTTATCATTATTATAATATAAAATATTGTAATAATATTATGGAGTTAAAATTTAATTTTTACTACTTTTTTTTGTTACCATGTTTTATAGTGGTTTTGCCAAAACCACTATAAAGCCGTTTTGGTTGTTTGTTACTTTTCATTTTGTTAGCAAGTAAAGTAGAATTTTTCATTTTTTGGTTAGGCAAGTAAGGTAAGGTAAGGTAAGACAAGACATCAGGGACAAGCACAAGAAATCAAAAATTGATTGTGTTTCATTTTATTTTCACCTAGTTTTATTTTTTGGTTAATCACGCCATTTGAAAAATTATAAAAGTTTTGAAAAATAAATTGCAATCTCGCGAACAGTTTTGTCTTTTATATAGTTCAGAAAAAAAAGATTCTACGAACAACATAATTAGAAGATTTATTTAAATGTGAATTTAAGTATGTAACTGGATGATCATTTTAAATGTGAATTTAAGTAATTAAAAGATAATTAAATGTGAATTGGAATTTTTACTAGATTACAAAGTTTTGTCCACTCAGTGATACAAAATGAGGTATAAATCACAAGCAACGAGGTCCATAAAGCTCAAAGTTAGCCATTGACATTTTTTTATTAAAACTGTATTCAATATCCTGACAAAATTTCACTAGTAGCTCAAGAAATACGCAAATAAATGATTACACCTTCACACTCATTTATATATATATATGTGGTATGTGTGTGTGTGTCTAATTCTAATGGCTGGTTAATTGGTTAATTAACAGGGTCATACAAACATACATACGTACATACATACACACGTACGTACATTCACACATACATACATCACAGCTCACACATTGGCACATATAAGCAGAGCA